CCACCCCACCCACTTGGTGGAGGTTCAAGGACAATGTCTAAATGTGCTTAAGGTCCTCATGATGCCTCTTAGACGCTAAAAACTTAATATTAACTGTGAGCATTGGTCTGGGGGAGGGGTTTGGGCCTGGGATTAACTCCATATAAAGTTCCAGCTTGAGCCTAAACTCAGCCCAAAGTGTTGTGCTGAACCCAGCTCAATTAAGCAGACAGGCCTTGGGCTGGCCAAACTCAAAATTCTTATGCATTTAACATATCTTAAAAATATATATATATATATATATATATATATTTACATACATGTTATTTGTATATCACATGTTTATGGGTACTTTATTCTATGCATTATGCATATGGGAAAAAAAGATATTGTATGTATAACTATACATAATATATTTTCTAGTCAGGTCATTTAGTGAGCTTCTGTAAATGACACTGGAATCTCAATGTGGCAATTTTAGGATCTCCATAGGAGTCTCCATGTTCCTCTCCCCAACCTCTATTAATGGAAAAATTTCAGCCCAACAGGCCTTGCAATGTATGACTACTATTGATTGGGAAAATATCCAATATAATAGTGGGTATAGGCTGATATATACTATGGGATTGAGTACATGGCCAATTGGATTGTCTACCAATAAAGAACGTCTAGAATGCCCACAATGTCTGCCCTCACATGGCAGAAATAGGTATATGTTCGTGTATGGAAGCTAAATATTGTGTGTGTGTATGTATGGGAACATGTCTGCTAGTCAGGTCATTTAGTGGAGTCCAGATGACCTAGGAAGCTTCCATGAGGATCTACTTTTCAGGCCCCAGAAAAACTCCAATTTTTGTCCCTTTAAACTTATACGGGGGATAAATTTCAATAAAAAAATTGACAATATTTACAAGTTTTCATGTGATATATTTTTTTAAACCAAAAGATTGAGGATTTTTGATGGTTAGTGTTACTTGGGGGAAACTCCAATACAAAAGTAGGGATAGGATAGTGCTGATGTGGACTGGGTGAATGAAAGCATAGTTGATCAGAGGGTGCCAATGGTGCTCATATTGGCCAACAATTCATTCATGTGGGGAAAAAAAAAAAGAACTTAAGTCCAGAAATCATTTCTTACTACTACAATCCATGTTCCTTTTGGTCTTTTCCTAGTCCTAGGTTCTAGCCCCTTCAACTTGACTGTTTATTCTTACAGGTGTTGTAGATAGTATTGATATTCTATGTACGCGACCAGGCTTTTGAGTTCAATCTTGTTCTGGTCCGACCTGCAATATATTTATATTATATAATAAATTATATATATTTAATATTAGATATTTTATATAGAGTTGACATATATATTAACTCGTGAGTCAACTCACATAGGAGAGAACAACTTTCTAATCTATATAAGGATAGACAACCATGTGTTGAAGCCCATGCCCCATGGCCTATTTTGTGTGTCATAGCCTCCCAGCCCAACTTGGGCCTATGTAATACATATATATATATATATATATATATATA